TGGTGTCCTTTCTGACTTCAAGTATAAATTCAATTGTTGGCATCTCAAATGGCTTCGAGCATCTCTGGGGTTCTCTGAACTCACCAGGCCCAGAGTCAGGATTTCCCGTCCTGGAGATCTCCAGGCCCATGGGGTTTTACCTGACATGGTTTATGATGGCAAAGCTTAGAAAGTAGTCCATGGGCAATTTTGGTCTCCAGCTGCTCAGTTTTACAGATTGGCAGACTGATCCGATTGAGATGATTTGCTCAAGGCCACAAGATGAGTTAGGAACAGAACTGAGACTTTTCCAGCTTCCTCTACTCCTTGCCCTGTTTTCTTCCCATCATCCTTTCTTACCTTGCTTGAAATACCAAAAGGGCTCATTTCTGTAAACTGCTTTACTTTTTTCTCCAGAGGCTCAATAAAACAGATGCTTATGGAAAGGAAGACCTTGTCTTAGGAAAAAGGCTAGTGCATGGAGTTATTTGGGAGGAAGGTGGGGGCAGGTAGCAGAGTATCTTCAGGCCAGTAAATCTTTGTGGCATTTGAAGGACCCTTCACACCTCTGCTATGCCTCCACCATGGGAGGGCAGGGTTCACCTGGGAAGGGACCGGCTCTGTGCCCCACAGTAAGTAAACAGGTCACATACAATATTTCCTTCCACCTTTACAACGCTCCTATGCCTCTGTTTTGCAGAGGATAACAAAGGCTCAAAGTTCCTAGACTTGCATAAAACCCTGTTACTAGGAATGGCGGAGGGGAGGTTGGAACCAGCACAATGACAGTGTGCTGTTTATTCAGCGATGCTCTCGGCCGCCTTGGGTTCAGTGGCTTACTCTTGGGTTTCCTTCCAGTCTTCTCTGAGGCTCCCCTAGGTGTCTCAGGGGAAAGAGCGTGATGAATAACAGCCTCCATCAGCCAGGGGAATTTGCAAGAACCAGAGGCTGGTAGGGCCGAGTCTGCAAAAGCATTGCCTGCTGTTTGCCTGGAGCTTGCTGAGCAAAGGCCTCTAGGGCCCAGAAGAATTGCCTAAATACCTTTATACATGCTGAAATGAAATCTTACAGGGGGTTAAGGCCATTAAATTGTGGTGATGGGGCTGCTTTTGACCTTGGCATGGTCAGATGTCTACATTTCCCTTGTGACTTAAATCTGCTTGGGAAGATTGCCAGAGGCTTGCTCATGTGGTGAGTGGATTCGGGTGGCCTTCAGAATAAGGTGGAGCTGGAACAGCCCAGAGTGTCCCCAGAGGACCTCTTACCTTCTTTCAGAGGGACCTCCGCCGAAGATGGAAAGGTCAATAGTGAATCTTTATAGTGACTCGCCAAAGACCCTGCTCCCTTCTCCATCCACTCAGAGGGGAGACGGAATGAGCCTCACCGCTGGATGATGTGGATCATTGACTTTAGAGTTGCACAGCCTGAAAGCCCCTTCTGTGGAATCCCTGTGGATACCCCTGGTGGTGGGGAGCTCAGGCTGCTGCTTGCTTTTCCTGACCTGGGTCGCTGTCCTTTGGGCAGTGACATAATGTGTGGTCAGGAGGGTCAGAGACATTCAGGTTAAGTTCTTAACTGTGCTACTTGCTGGCTGTGTGACCAAACCTTCCTTTATCTGAAAAATGGGGGGAGTTGTGTTACTTGGGTGTGGAAGGGGTTCTTTAGGTGTGTTAAGTGTGTAACGCAGCACCTAGCTTGCCAGACGGGGTGATGTTACTTGCAATGAGTACCACAGCACTGTACAGACTTGATGGTCCAAGGTTGGTTTACTCTTGGACTTATAGGAAGGGGGGTGCCACTCTTTGGGAGGGAATTTAATCAGGTTGTAGAAGCGAGATTGGAAGGTCACTCTGAGCCTGGATGGCACCCAGCTAGATCATCACTCTCAGATGGTTGCACCCAGGAAGGGCAGCACACCCCTAGAGAGTGCTAGGAAGGGCTCCAGCAAGTATGCTGGCTCCTTCATGGGGCTACTGTGTAAGTTCCCAGACAGGTCACCTGCCTCACCCACTCCACCCCCATGTGACCACCCCTCGAGCTGCTTGTCTCTGAAATGACTATTGAGCCCCAAAGTTCCTGCCCTGGGAAGTGTTCTTTGAACCCATGATCTGACATGTGACTCCCCTTAGTTCCTGTCTTTCTGATGCAAGTTGACTTTAGTTCTTCCTTTAAAATGGAATGAGAAAAAACAGGAGTCCTTATTCTTAGAGTCCAGTCATTGTGAGAGGAGACTGTGCTGTGGGACTGGCTCTTCCAGCTGATTCAGCAAGGATACCTGGGGCACTTTCTTCACCTGTCCTCATGGCTCCAGTGACAGGTGGGCTCTCATGGATAGCAGTTACGCAGGCACTGGAATGCTTGTTGGGGACACTGGATAAAGGACAGATGGGCAGCTCCAGGCCCTACTCTGCTCTGATCCTAATATCCCTGTCTCGGGCTTGACCACGGGCCTAAGCTAGGCTGGGCTTCTGCTTGGCCTTCATTTGTTTTCCACATACTTGAATTAGACCCAAATGTGCCTGGGAAGACAGCAGAGGCCCTCTCTTACCTACCCTGTACCTGTCAGTGGCCAAGTCCTTCTCTGAGTTCTTGGGAGACAGCCCTGAACGAAACAGGCATCTCTGCTCTCAGTAGGAGAGACACGACAGACAAATAGCTCACATGATCTAGAATAAGTGTCATGAAGAAAATTAAGCAGGAAAGGAAGTGAAGAGTGAAGCAAGGAGAGCATTCTACCTAGGGTGAGAAAGGGAGGCATTTCAGTGGAAGCGAATGATGCATCGGGCAGCACCACACTGACAGACACACGGGAGCACTGAAGCAGACTGCAGAGGGCAGGATACTGCTTGAGAGCAAGATCCTGGTCATTTTTATTGATAGAATAATCATACAGCATCAGCTGCGTGCGTTAGGAGGACAAGGAGAAACAAATGGAGGAAACTCAGGAATGTCATCTAGGGCTTGGGGGGACATGAGTCTGCCGACCATGTTATCAGCTTGATGACCAAGTGTTATAATTGAAACTGGCCCAGACCCCCAGCCGTGGTCCTAATCTTATCAACAGGCATTCCACTGATCAGCTTCTGGAGTCCCTTGTCATACATCGGTCCTCCGCCCCCCTCACCGGCATTCCCAGTCATACCTCATGATGCATACGCTTCCCAGAGTGATCAAGCTTTCTGCTCTTGATTGATATGAAAGGCACCTTGTAAGGTTGGCTAATATGATTGACTGGGCAGTTCTGACCTGTGTATAGGAATGCAGAGCTGCAGGTAACCATAATGGTGGCTGAACAGGCTGCTGAAGTCTAGCAGACCCACAAATGAAATTTGAAGAGACTTAATGTGTGAGCATGAAAGCCAGGAAGGGATATGGAGGAATGCGGATGAGGAAACAGTGTCAAGTCTCTGAGCCAGGGATGAGTTTGGTGAGAAACGTTAACACTGCCAGGTGGCAGGGCGCAGGTTGGGTCGGAGGGATGGGTAGGATGACGTTAGAGATGGGGGCTGAAGCCTGGCCACACAGGCTCTTGTGGACCCTGCAGGGGGCTGAGTTTTATTCTAAGTGTAAAGGGAAGTTGTTGGAGAGTTTTGAGGAGAGTTACCTCATCTTTGATTTGTTTGGGGATCTAGGAGGAAGCCCCTGCAGGGTCCAGACACAAAGAAGTAGAAAGCACAGACAGGAAGGACCTGGTCAAATATATCATGTATTTCAAAGGTAGAGCTTGCACAGGGTCCTGGGCTTGGAATATGGTGTTAGTGGGAAAGAAGCCTCAAGCATGGGGTTTAGGATTTCTCTCAAACAGTTGAATGGACGCACAGTGGTGCCATTTAATGAGATGGGGAGGATCTGGTTGGGGCTTGGGAGGCCAAGGCTTCTTTGTGGAGCATGGCAAGGTTGAAATATCATTAAATATCTTAGATGGACAAGGGTATTTGACTTTGGAGTGGCCAGAGATGGAGTTTTTGCACTTGTGAACAGATAGATTTATGTGTGAATAGTGAGTTCAACTAGAGGGGGGATGGGAGCAAAGCAGGGCCCAGGACTTCTAGCATTTTGAGGGATCTGAAGAAGAGACTGAACAGGAGTGACAAGGGAGGGTAGAAGACAACCAGGAGTACGCACTGCCTATTCCCAGAACCGAGTGTGTTAGTGGAGAAAGGGATAACCAGCTTGATGAATGAGATCAGAAAACAAGTGAAGAAAAAAGACTTGACTTTCAGCTTTGGCACAAGGAAGTAAGTCATTATTCAAGGGGACCGAGGATGGTGGGGAGGGAAGCCTACAGGATTCAATGGGCAGTGACTGGTCACCACTGCTTACCGCACAGTGCAAGAACTGGGAGGGAAGGGGAATGTCCTGCATCCCATAAAGAAAACCAAGACCTTCATCAACTGGTTAATCCAGCAGCAGACTGAGAAGCGGGGTTAGAAGTACGTGCGGCTCCCTAGAGCAGAAGCTGCAGTGGCACAAGGGATCTTTGCCTGCATGGCTCCCCACTGTCTGCAGGGCTGGATATGGCTCCTGGCACTGAGGATATCCCCATCAGTATTTGTTGAATGAGTAGTAAATGAAAGCTTTGGGCCCTATTCTGCCACTGTGTGGCATTTTGATCCTGGCCCTTTGAGATCTATGTTCCCCTCTGTAAAAAAGAGACGAGTCCTGGCAGGGTCTCTTTACATGGGTCCAGCACCCTGATACCTGACTTTGTAATCTTTGCTCCCACATCTCTGCCTCTGCTCTCTGGAGCATGGGTCCATCTGGAGTTGAAGGAGTTTGTCCAGACGGTCAGGGAAGGTAGTTGTGGGCTATCTGAAGAGCCTTGCCATCCCTTTTTTTCTGGAGCAGAGAGTCCGAGGTACCAGCAGGGGCCAACATCATTGGCCCTGCTCCATCCAGCATGGACACGAGCCAGGACCACCCCCAGATGAGTAGTGCGAACTCTTCTTTGAGAAGCATGTCCAGAGTGCTGGTTTCTGACCTAACTTTCCCTGTCTCTCCTTCTCTTTCCCCCTACCCAGTTGGCTGGTGTTGTCTTCCTTGCAGTCGGACTGTGGGCATGGAGCGAAAAGGTAGGTGTTACCATCTCGAGTCCTGAGTGAGCATCCTGGAGCCCAAACCAAGTTTGGTCAGCTTTTATTGTCCCCTCCTCCAAATGCTCCCTGACAAGCATTTCGTGCGCAAGATAACGGCTTGTAGCCATCCTTCTTCACAGAGTCTGCTCTTGGAGCCAGTTGCTCAACTTACAGTGGGAACGCCTGGGTCCTGAGGCTGACTCTGCTTCCCTTGATGGGCTCAGCTGCTAAAGACCAATGCTGGGCCCCCTGAACTCATTGCAGATGGAGAACCTTCTCTTCTGGTCTCAGAAAGTCCCCTGGGGACTTGTCTGCAGCGGTGGCCAGGACCGGCCTGCGACCACCTTTTTGACCCTGTCTGTGCCTCTGGGAGCAAGCAGGTCTCTGAACATGAGTGTGTTTATTCCTGAAACGCTTGTCCTCACCTACAGGAAGAGGCCCTGAGAGCAGAGAGCATGTGCCCCCTAGGGTAGAGGTAGATCAAAGGCAGTCAGAGGAGTCCTAGGGGGCCTGGGCTATGTGCGCACTGTGGGACAGGGTCAGGTCTTATGCACCAGTGAACTCATTGCCCAGCCTGGAGACTTGGCTTTTACTGGCTGGAAGGACTGGGGACAGCTGGAACTCTGGGTGGGGATGAAACCAGGTGTGGCTGGGTGGAGTTTAGCATTCCACCTTTTGTTCCTTGGGGTGGCAGTTGAGTGGTGAGGAGATGAGGAAGGCTGAGCCGCCCGGGTACAGGAGGGAGGAGCTAAGCAGGAAACAGGGAAAGTAAAGCTTCCTCTTGAGCCTCAGGCCCAGGTCCTCTGTTCAGGGGAACCTCTGCTTCTAGAAGGAGGCGGCAGAAATTCTTAGATGCATGGGCTTTCTTGCTGGGGTCATTGGAACTGTATACGGTCTGCCTTTGGGTTTGGGCACCTTCAAAGTAGCCTATAAACCCCTAAAGGACAGAAGTTGAGGTGTACTTTGTCCCGGCAGCCTCAAAACCAGTGCAATTCATAGCTCGTAGTGCCACTGTGTGGCCAACTGTGGAACTACAGCATCCCGCCTGCTCTGACCCGCTGGGTCCCTGGTCCAGCTATTCTTTCTTTTCTCATTTGAACCCTTTAGAACTGCTCAGTTCTCTTTTGGTTGCCACTATCTACATGTGACTATTTATATGTAAAAAATTAAAATTAAATACAAAGTAAAATTCAGTTCTTCAGTCCCACCAGCCGCAGTGTAGGTTCTCAGCAGCAGTTTCTGTGACCTGGGGGCAGTGGAGATATCGATGGACTCTATCATCACAGAAAAGTCTATGGTCTATCATCACAGAGAAGGTCTGCCTTCTCTGCCCTTGATGGTTGGTTTTCCGTAAGCACGTTCCTATTGAACCCGTTTTCTTTTCAGGATGTGGGGTTCTCCACAAATGGGTTGCAAAGGTGGGAGACTAATAAAATCAGCTACCCAGTTGACCAGAGGCCAGAGTGAAGCAGTGCCTACCACGGTGCTTTGGACCCAAGGGTCTGCTCCACCCTGCAGCCTGCAAAAGAAGCCTGGGGTTTGCCTCCAAGTAACTCACAGGCTAGAGGGAGAGCAGGAATGCTGCAAGTGTGGGCCCTGGAGGATGAAGGGGGAAGGATCCCCTGGGCAGGGGCCCTGTCAGGAGGAGGAAGGCAGGGACCATGCACTAGCCTGGCTGTCAGTGAGAGGACTGAGCCTCAATAGGCAGGTCCTTGTCCTGGGTTCCTTGCCCCGTGCAGTCTAGTCCCTCAGGGCTGTCAGTGAGAGGACTGAGCCTCACCAGGCAGGTCCTTGTCCTAGGTTCCTTGCCCCGTGCAGTCTAGTCCCTCAGGGCATGCCCTGCAAGCTGACGCTGCCCTGCTTTCTCTGCCTCTTTCAGGGGGTGCTGTCTGACCTCACCAAAGTGACCCGGCTCCATGGAATCGACCCCGTGGTGCTCGTCCTGATGGTGGGCGTGGTGATGTTCACGCTGGGCTTTGCCGGCTGCGTGGGGGCCTTGCGGGAAAACATCTGCCTGCTCAAGTTTGTGAGTTCCCCGGGGCCGGGGCGGGGGGCACGCGCAAGGGGCGCGGGTTCTGCTGTGCAGGCCTGTGCTTTCTCCCATCTGAGAAACAAGGGCAGAGCCGCTCTTACAAGCTCGCCTTCATCCCAGAAGAATCTGGGTCCCTCAGGTTTTCAGCTCCCCTCCCGCGCGGGCGCGCCTTTTATCTGCCCTCAGAAGCTCTAAAGCAGTTGTTTGTTTGCTGCTCACCTTTGCCCTTCCTGGCTAAGATCAAAAGATGCTGCCAGTAAGATAGGAAATAATTTTCCTCCTCCTGGGTGTGTGAATCCATTGGATGTGCGGTGCAGAATCCTAAATTTGCTGGCAGAATTTCAAGTTACTAAGAGTTAAGCTTTATATTTAGATGCAAATTCATTTTGAAATGCTTTCAGTTAAAATTGAACAGCACCTGGTGGGAAACACACACTTGTTGTTTGCCATACATTATTTGTTATAGTTATTAGATCAAGTTTTCTGTGTTCTGGATCTAATTTGAAAAGCAGAACACCCGCCTCTCCCCCCCCCCACACACACACTTAAAAATGTAGTGTGGAACAGGTCTGCATGAGCTCTGTGACCTCCATCCAGCTGTGTATCTGAGTGGGCCTCAGTTCCCTTACCCCTGAAATGGGGTAGCAGATGAGATTTCTAGAAACTCTGACAACTGTGTGTGGGAGGAGAGTGGTCAGACTGTGGGTCACAGGCCCTGCCCTGGAGGAGCTGATCCTGGTGAGGTAGGACCACTCTTCATAGCCGGGCTTCTTCCTTGCGGGGGAGGGGACTACTTCATAGGCCATGACACATGGGTCAGCTTGTGCTTTGATTTGCTTCATTCTTACCTTATGCAGCAATATGGGTAGGGGCGGATATCTTCATTTTACAAATGGGTAGAACTGCCCACAGCCACCCAGCTAATAGCATGGAGTCCCAAGCTCCAGCTCAGGTATGTGTTCTTCATGGCAGGCAATGGTTCTGGGTCAAACGAGAGGCCAGAGATGTGGTGACACCCCTCCCGTCCTTGTCCTTTGCAGTTCTGCAGTGCCATTGTGCTCATCTTCTTCCTGGAGCTGGCCGTGGCCGTGTTGGCCTTCCTGTTCCAGGACTGGGTGAGGGACCGCTTCCGGGAGTTCTTTGAGAGCAACATCAAATCCTACCGGGACGACATCGACCTGCAGAACCTTATTGACTCCCTTCAGAAAGCAGTAAGCACCTCCCGAGGCAGTTCCAGGGTGTTGCCGGGCTTTTGTGGCTTTAGTCTGCTGCCCTGGAGCTGAGCTAGTGTGGAAATTGTGGGGCCTTCCTCCGCAGCAGGGAGGCCATGGAGGTGCCACCACGCCTCAGCATCTGAAGTCTTAACTTTGCCAGTTCATGGCTGCCTGGCTGACCAGGCTGTTTCTCCTGTATTGGGCAGGTAGGTCCAACTGCACCAGTGACCGCCCTCTCCAAGATCCCAGTACTCTTCTGCCCCTTTGGGGCCCAGTTGGCTCCAGCCCTGGCCATTCCGTCCTCCCTGGAGCCCTGGGCACTGGATACTGAGGGGCAGAGTCCTCCTCTCCAGGCGCGTGACTCACAGTCTGAGGCTATTCCTGTCCCTTCCCCCCAGACCTTTTCCCCTTCCTGTTTGAGAGGGCAGAGCTGCCTGGAGGAAGCTTCCACAGATGGAAAGGAATGTAACCTCATTGGACTGTGTCCTGGGCGGTTGTCTGAGCAGTCTGAGCCAGACCTTTACTCCATCTGGCCTCTGTTCCCCTCATGTGCAGCTGCACCTGGAGGCTTAGACCATAACCACCCACCCGGTAGAAGGAACCCACTCCCTGTGCAGGCCTCTTGTTCAGTCTGGGCTCTGCCAGAAATCCTAGCTTCCTTAGAAACTTCTTACATGAAACACTGGTTCCGAGAAGAAAATAAGTTAGAAAGCAATAAAAATAACTGACTGGCTCTGCTCTCTGCTCTTCGTTATTAACTAAAACTTGTTTGCCCTTATTTCATGTGTCTTGGGATCTAACAAAGCCCATTTTTGTGACCAGAGATCCTTCCCATGTTGTTAATGGTGACCTGTATTAGTCTGTGGCGATCTCCAGATACTAGCTATTTTTGTAAAGAGATATAAAAGGTAACGAGGACCAGCTTGGAAGTTTCTAGGGGGAAGATACTGCTCCCAGAAGGTATTTGCGTGGGGTGTAGTAGAACCACATTAGAGGTACAGAGGGGCCTCAAAGGAGAACAAGAAGCTGCTCTGGACTGGGGTGAGGAGAGGGAAGGGAAAGAAAGTTCCAGCTGCTCTAGACTGGGGTGGAGAGGATTAGAGCCCTGTGTGGAGGCCAGGAGTGCCTCAGGGCCAGTCTTGTGTGTTGGACCCAGAAGCAACAGAACCCACTTACCTTCTTAAAGGGCTACCTGGATCTCCTCACTCAGCATCTCAGTGTGTATGGAGGTTAGTGACATGGGCCTCAGTTTCTCTCTGGTGGGGGAGGCACACTTAACCCTGAGTCCCCTGGACTGACATCTTCTTCTGGGGGGCCACATTCTGACCCAGAACCCTCAATAGTTTTTTACTTTCATGATTGCAGAACCAGTGCTGTGGGGCATTTGGCCCTGAAGATTGGGACCTCAACATCTACTTCAACTGTAGTGGCGCCAGCTATAGCCGTGAGAAGTGTGGGGTGCCTTTTTCCTGCTGCGTGCCGGACCCTGCGGTGAGTGAAGATGTCTGAAGATGCATCCCTCCTGAACTCCCGACTCCCTGAGAACTCTGGGCTGCTTCTTTTCTGCAAGGCTGGCTGAGTGCCCCGTGCCCCTTCCACGTGAGACCCCAGAGCTCCTGTGGCTCTGAAATCCTATAGGTGTAGATCCCAAGAAATTCTTATGTGGCCCTCCCTGGCTCTGCTATCCTGAGTGAGACAGGAGAACAATATCAATATCAGTCTCCCTGGAGGGGTTGTGAATGTAATGAGCCCTAGTCTGACCTCTTTCTGTGCCTTTCCCTGCAGAGAATGCCCATTACTCAGCCCACAGGGATAGTGAGGGTATGTCACCATCTGGGGGGCAGAATCTCAGAGGTGGAGAATTATTTCCTTTTCTTTCTTCACCTGTTTTCATTCTGAATCCAAAGCCCAGGCCCTTGGGGTCTAGAAACTGTGCTCTCAGGCTGATCTGTGAAAGAGTGTTTGCCTAATGGAGGCTAAGCAGAGCCGGGCCCTTTGCAGGTCTCCGTGGTGTTTCACAAAATGTCGTCTGTAGTGTGTGGGCAGTTCCTAAGCCCAGGAGCGGCTCAGATTGCATATTGCATGTCCAAGGTCTCCTCTGACTGAAATGCCTAACAAGTGTAACTTTACTACCTAGTACAGGGATTGGCAAACTATGGACTGTGGGCCAAAGCTGGCCTGCTGTTTTTGTGTGACCTGTAAACTAGGAATGGTTTTAGTCATTTTTAAATGGTTGAACAAAGAAGGAAATACTTGGTAACTTGAAAACTATATGAAATTCAAATTTTACTGTCCATGAATACAGTTTTATTTAAATACAGCCACACCCATTCATTTACCTGCTGTCAGTGACTGCTTTCTGGCTACAGTAACAGTGCTGAAGAGGTGCTACCCTAGATGACTGACATGCTTGCTGTCTAGCCGTTCATAGACAAAGTTTGCTACCTGTTGTCCTAGCACGAAAGGGGTCAACAGCATGATTGAAGGATGTGAGCTCTCATGGGGTTTGTACAGGGGTTGCTGGTGTTGGTTGTGATTTTTTTAGTACCTTCTACCACTCTTGCTTCTCAAGAGAACAAAATAACTTTTCTGCTTTTCTTACAGCAAAAAGTTGTGAATACACAGTGTGGATATGATGTCAGGTCTCAGGTGAGAATCCCAATACATACTACTTCCAGCATTCCTCAGGTTTATTCCCTAAAGTCCTAGTTCCTGATTTAGCACAAGTGCAAACTGGAGTGGGAAAATGAGGGGAGAGGAGACTCAAAGGTGCCATTAAGGCTGGGAGTGAGCTGGTAGGGGCACCATTCCTTTCTGGGCTTCCAGCAAGATTCCTGGGAGCAGTGGTGGTGTGATTTCAGGGCACACTGAATCCCCTTCTCCCAGTTTTTCTCCCTTTAACGGTGTGTCTTCCTTCCTCACACCCCTTCCTGTTCTCCAGACGTGGGCTGTGGAGGTGTGTTGAACAAGTTGACCTTTGACTCTCTGGGGCCCTAACAGAAATGGGCTAAAGATTAGAACCTGAGAGCCTTTGGTTAGACAGGTCCTAAAGTGTAAACTCACCGGGGGCGGGGCAGAGAGGAGACAAGTAGATGTGTTACTCCCAGAGGGTTCTGTCTGACCGCGGCCCTCCCCTCTCATGCTACCTTCTGGGAACTGGGGGTGGACACATCCTGCTTGTCTGCCTCAGGCCACTGTGATTTTCCCCTGCAGCTGAAGAGCAAGTGGGAAGAGTCCATCTTCATCAAAGGCTGTATCCAGGCGCTGGAAGGTTGGCTCCCGCGGAACATTTACATCGTGGCTGGCGTATTTATCGCCATCTCGCTGCTGCAGGTTTGTCCCACTGTCCTTTGTGGCTTCCTTTGACCTTTGGGGCTATGCCTGTTCATTTCAACCAGATTTCACATCTGGAAAGACGTTGGTGGCTAAGGGGGCCAGCAGATCCTGCAGTGAATGGGCTGACTTAGTGCCTGCGAGGAGAAAGTCAAGAATTCAGTGAATCAGAGAAATCAGGAGCCCAGGACTTGTGAGGAGAAACTGGCAGCCCCAGAGCTGCCTTTCTAACAGCTGCTGCTGCTGCTGTGCACAGAGCACGCCATTCAGAAGGTGCTGGGCTCTGACTGGAAGAGGGTGACTGAGGTGAGCCTGGGCCACCAAGCCTCCACACCCTCCTTCCCCCTTTGCTCAGCAGACTGAGTGATCTCAAAGGAAGACTGAGAGACAGAAGCATCTCAAATAGAAAAGAAAAAATTTACTTGTAAAATAGGCAAGGGAATTACATACTTCTGAAGGACTGGCTCATCAAATACCAACCACAATAAGAGTTTATAGGGGACAGGAAAAGCAAAATTCCTGAGCTTACCAAGTTCTCATTCGTCTGTGCCTGGGACAGTAACATCTTCCTGTCACCAAGGTCAGGATATAGCATTGGACATAAGCACTGGCCAAAATCAGGGACAACCTTGGTTTTATTATAGAATCAGGTTTACAGGAAACCATTAATATTTATTATTTTGGGAATCAGAGCCAGTCAGGGTGACCTTGTTATTTTTGGTTTGGCCTTGGTTGCGGAGTGTGTCCTGGCCTGAGGTATGTGACATGCATAGTCATGTTGGAAGCAGAGCATCCATTTTGTTTCTCCAGTACCTACTGCCTGACTCTTCCAGCCTCTAGGGATCCTGCGAAATAGACCTTGGGCTCTTTTTACCATTGGCCATCTTGTTTTGCCCTGTGCACACTTATTGGCCTCTTTGCATCCTTGGCAGACTGGGTGTGGGGTGGTGAGGGGTGCGGGATACCCTGCACGTGCTTGCCCTCTCCCTTTGGGCCCCAACAGTGATGGCTGCCACCTTTGCTGGCTTTGCTTTCAGATATTTGGCATCTTCCTGGCGAGGACCTTGATCTCTGACATTGAGGCAGTGAAGGCTGGCCACCATTTCTGAGGAGCAGAGCGAGTGGAGCGAGCTGAGCCAGGCTGTGGAGGCCAGAATCCTTCACTGTCATTAACTTTATGTCCAGTGAAAGCGAAGTGGACACGCGCAACTGGAGCCAGCACCCCATCTTCAGCATCAGAGTGACATGACCTGTTTCTGCTTGTTGGTGCTGAAGACAGAGACTATGTCTTTGAGTGGGATGGTGACTGACAGGCAGACTGTGGCTTTGACGAGGCTTGACTTGGTCCTCCTGGAGCCCAACTGTGTCTACAGGGCCCCACCCCCGCCCCCAGCCTCCTTATCATTCATGTCATTTGTGCTGGCCTGTAGGGCAGCCTCATCTGTGAATAGGACGCTGGTAGAGGAGCCAGCAGGTGTGGACAGACCTCCCAGCAGCATATGGGCGCTGCCTGCAATTGGGACGGGAGTTTTACACTTGCAGTCAGAGGCGCAAGTGGACCTCTGAGTCCAGTAGGACCTTGGTGTCTGCACAATTTGGGGCTTGTTTGCAGGCTCCTCAGCCATGTCCAAGTGAAGTAGCCTGAGCCACTGTGTGGACTGGAGCCGTGGGCTCAGGCCACTTGCCCACTGCCCCTCCCTCTCAGCAGCATTATGCCCTGTTGGCACAAGGGGAGCTATGGGCATGGTTCTCTGTTGAGAGCCGGCTCTCTTTTTCTTACAGTGTGTAAATAATTTATTTATAGCATAAGGATGTTTTCACACCATTTCTTCATTTCCTCCGGCATTCTCCTCCAAGCAGCCTTACACAGTGTCTGGGACTGAAGCCATCCCTTTCAGTTCCCATGAGTGTCTCAAGAACTCCCCCATTGCTTCTCCTTTTCATCCCTAACAACCCCATTAAGTGCACATATGTGTCCCTTCTCTGTGCGCCCCCAACATGCACACACCCACACCCTCCCTAGCTGGAACTCATTGTCTTCTAGTCTTGGTGCTACTGAAACTGTCCCTGGAACTTGAATCTGATCTCCCCTCTCCCTTCCCTCCCCAGGAGCTCTAGGCAGAGATAGCCAGCCTGAAGCCTTTGGCCACGGCTCCTCTCAAACATTTGCCACGAGCCTGCCGGCCAGCCTGGCATTTGCCTGTCCCTGGAGAGAGAAGCTGTGCAGCCAGGCCCCGAGCCCACCCGCAGACCCCAGCCTGCGACCGTTCAGATGCTCGGCATGTTTTGTTACCAACTCTCGTGGCAACTCCGCCAGGCCGAGATATATGTGGTCACTGTGTCTGCCCTTCCTGTCAGGGCTATTCTGGGGCTTGCTCTTGGAAATGAAGTCTGTTTTATGTGCTGATTAACCCCTGCTGGGAATAGATAGCTGGGGCATTTGTCCATCTTTGGCTGCTTTCTAATATTTCTCTGGGTCTTGTACCAGTTCTGTCCTTTTTGTTCAGGGGTTGAGTGCTACCTTCACTTAATTGCTGAAGTGTACATTCTAGTGCTGTGTATGTTCATTGTAGTGTCTGTTCATGATGTTATTATAATTTTTTTTTTTTTACCATTTTCTCTGTAGCCTAGGGAATGAAGAGAATGGTTTTTTTTTTTTTTTTTTTTTGCCAAACTTTTATGGAATATATCTTTGTATTAAAGGTATTGTTTTAGCTGTTTGTGTTTTGGCATTAAACATCTCAGTGGTACACTCACTTGCCAAGGGAACCAGTGGGATAGGGTGTGATAGATACCACAGAAGGGTAGATGGCCCAGTCCTTCACTGGCACAATCTGAAGTAAATTTCATAAGTGATTTTTCTTTTTAGATTCTATGTGCCACTTTCAATTATCCTTTGTTTGGAGGTGACAGCTGGGACAAGCTGGCTTGTGGCTTAGCTCTGCCCAGCTAGAAGTATGAGATGGAAGGATTCTGACTCCATAGGCCTGGAAGATACATTACTTTAGGTTCTCTCTCCCTAGCCCCAGGCAATATCCAGACAAAAGAGCTTGGGGACAGTGAGTTGGAATCTTGGCACTGCTACTGCATGAGCTATATGTCCTAGACCTGCTAGCCTGTTTTTGAAAGAGTAAGTGGCTGTGTCCACCTTGCTAGGTACCTTTCCAGGTGCCCCAGACCCTCATGCAGGTGTGTGGATACCAACACCTGGTGGACAGCTGCCACAATCCCATCATTCAGGTAGACCTGGTGACTGGGCCCTTTGAGAGTCTCTCCAAAGAGCATAGTCCAGTTCAAGGTGAATTCTAGCTGTGACTTTTTCACAGCTGGATTTGTTTTTCAATTAATTTACAGAACTGCTGGGCCATTTTCAACCATCTCAGCTGACTGAGTTGTTGGATGAGGGTAGAAAAGAAGCCCAGGATCAGGGGTGCACACAGGAGCATTTCCAGTGGAGAAGGGTCCTCCTCAGAGAGCTACACTCCCAGGCCCTTCCCACCCACTGCCGTCCTGGCCCGCCTACCCCGAATCCCTCCCCCTTCACGCTTTGATGTTTCAGAGTCTCTCCCTGTTGTGCCCTCCTGCCCACCTCCTCCTAGGACTTTACCACTTTGTTGCTGATTCCACTGCGTCTGCCTCTCTCCCCATCACATGTACCCCATCTTCCCACAGCTTACCTGGGCCCTCTTGCCTCTTTCCCAGGCAGCTTCTTAGCGGGGCTGTCTTGTTACCCATCACCCCAACCCACCCCCACTCTGCAGTCACCAGACCCAAGTGGGCATCTGCAACGTCTGACTTTGGACCACTCTGTCCTCCAAATCCTTGGCTTGGGCCCGTGCTTGCCAGGTCACTGATCTCTCTCCCCGTGCTTTGTATGCCTCCACTGCACCTGCCACTGTCCCCCTTACCAGGGTCCAGGGTCTCACAGGGCAGTGCTGTGAGCTGGGCAGGAAAACCAGTGGCACTGGTTGGTGCACGAGAAGCCTATGTTTGTCTTTACCATGTGAGCAGCAATAAAAATTAATGGATATACAACCTTTCTGGAACATAGGAAGTGCTCAGAGTACCTACTTAACAGTAAGCTCCTTCAATCACAAGAACAGCTCCGAGGAAGCCATATTTGTGCCCAAAACTTTAGACTTGGAGAAAGGGAAGGTATTGCCAAGGATTTGGAAGAACTGGTTCAAACTCTGAAAGCCTTGCCCAGAACCTGTACCTGCCATTAAAATAGGTTTGGTGCCCATCAGTCTTGGATTCTGAATTAGCTCGTGCTGAGCAAAACCAGCAGAGGGCAAGCCAGAGAAGCAGAGGCTTCCTGAGGTTATCCACTTAATTGAACTCTATTGACAGGTTAACAGGCGTTTGGAGAAAGCCAGAGAACACTGATTCCTGCCTCATACCTGGATTTGGATGCTTGGTTTGGCTTTGGGGACCCATGGGAGAACATGGTATTTCTCCCAAGGAGCTCAGCTCCACCTTGCGCTGGAGATCCTGTCTCTGGGCACTGGGCTTACTTCTCTGCAATCCCACTGGAGACAGCCTTCTTTCCAGGAGACATCAGCAGGGGATCCCTTGGGGTATCATGGCCATGCACATAGAGCCAAGTGGCCAGAGGAGGCTGGATCAAAGACTGACTAAGGAGGGGAAGGGCCTCAGTCTCGGCAGCAGGGACCACCTGATTACTCATTAGCCAAAAACCTCAGAGCATGGATGGTGGAGGCTTAGAGAAAGGAGAGGGGCTATTACATGGGTCCCACAAGGCATCCTCTTACCCTGGGAAGGTCCTGCTCAGGCCTCAGGTACTTTAGCTCTGTCACCAAGTGGTCTGATGCCCTCAGCTGTACCTGGTGAGTGGTACATCTGTGAGACCTGCATGGTGGGCTTCTCTAGCTCCAGGGTGATGCAGGTGCTTGTGTCCACAGGACCAAAGGATTTTCAGGTTGTCTACCTCCAAATCGTGGTCACCTGTCCCCAGTGATGAATCATGGTGTACAGGTACTTCCATGTGCTTGTCTGTCATCCAAGAGGGTGTCACCCGGGTCTCTCTGGCAGACTGGGCCTCCTGAAGAACCATTCTCGTGCATCTGGGAGTGCTCTCCAAAAATCCAAACAGCCATGTATAATTATGATTTTCCTAGGACCTTGTATAGTCAACGGGACCTGGCCTCTCCTCAGAGGCTGCAATAAAGGCATATTCATTCTCAAAATGCTTTTGGGGTTCCCAAGGTGGCTCAGGGAAATCTGAAGGGGACACTGCACAATGCGGACTGTGATAAAACTTGGGAGGAAAATAAAGTTAAGGATACATACATCCAAGTGGACATTGTTCTGCTAAAGTTACCCATTTTAGAGATTCCAGCTTTGGAGGAATTGAAGTACAAATTCCTTGCAAAGGTCTGAGACAATCATTTCTTCTTGCGTTGTATAGCTTATATTTTAGCAGGGGTTTCAAATGCATGGTTTAATAACCACCAGAATAAATTATCACCTTGCACTGTAATTTTATCACCTCAAACAACTTTTAAACTAATTTTGTTTATAAGTAAAAACAATCTAAATATAGTGTGAAGTGAAAAGACTGTCTCCTGTGTCCCAGAGGCAACCATTATTAAGTACCCTTCCAAAAAATGTCCATGTATATTCAAACATATTTTCTATACCATTGAGAATCATATTTTACATAGTACTCTGCAATTAATGTTACAGAACGCATCTCGCCATTCCTTTCCCACTGGTACATCCATGGTGCGTTTTCCCAGTCACTGGCCATTGCAGAACGGCGGAGTGAATTACTTTGCTCTGTAACAGGGAGTAGGTTCACAGCGGGTAACAGAAAACCCAGTGCAAACTGGCCTAAACCATGAAGGACGCCTTTGGCCCTGAGACTGGAAAGTCCAGGGGCGAGGTTGGTTAGATCTGAGTGGCTCTGATGCCAGCTGCAGGATCTAGTTTCCTGCTCTGCTCTGCCTCCCAGTGTCCCGCTCTCCTAAGCCAGAGGAAGGGACCACGGACAACACCTCCAGCCTCTGATATGGCTAGTGGGGAAGTGTTTCAGGGACAGACACCCCAGAAACCCCTGGGCTTGCCCATCCCACCAAGAGCGCATGCCCGGAATTTACAGATACTGGGGAAGGGGGTGGACACTGGGGAGCTGACAGCAACACTTCAGTGAACACACATAGTTGGTGCGGACTTTTGCTCTTCGCAGGACTTATAAACCCCCACAGTACTCTGTTACTGGAATTACTTCCTGAAAGGGCTCAGAGGAAACACATTTTGAAAGATGGTCTTCAAGAAGGTGGAATGGCAACCTACTGAGAGGATACTGGGGGCAGAGGCGTGCTTGTGACTGCCAGGCGGTGGTGGGTGTGTACAGGGTTCCCTGAGTGTTGTGATGTACAGGGTGACCAAGGGTGGTAAGGGCAGTGGGAGTGATGCCTCCCCAAGGAAGTCCCCCTGCAGCTGCAGCCCCGTGATCTGCAACAGCACAAGTTCCACAGGGAGGCAAGCTGGGCAAGGGAGTCCAGCCTTCTGACTTTGCCTGGGGAGGTGACTGGTTGGTTGGGAATGCAGGGTTTTTGGGTGCCATTCTCGTGTGTAGATAAGGACATGCACTCAGAGCCAGTGCTGCCCGTGGTGGCACAGGGAGGGAGCTGCAAAGTACAGGCAGGCACAGTGGGCTCCTGCCAGCTGTAGGGTGTGGCACTGATGACATCAAGGAGCAGCCGCATCTCTCTGAAAGCCCTGGTGCCCAGCGATGGGGCTCTGGTATTCACTGCCTGACTACTGCCTCCCCATGGGATGATCCTGTTTTCTGGAAAAATGCAGCATCACTCTGGGTCTGGTGGACCCCAATTGTCTAGATGGCAGAGAGGCAGGAACATGCTGCAGGCAAAATAGGAGAGGTGGATCCAGGGCAGTTGGGGAGGGATGATGAGGATCTGGCTCTGTGCAAGTGCTCCTCCAGCAGAACAGGGCTGGGGCTGTGTGGGATCTTCCATTTTCCCTGCACCACCAGGCTGCTAGAAAAGCACAATTATGAGAGAGAAGAGGGATCCCCTGGACCCCAATTCCTTTGAGGTCCTATGCTGTGGTGGGAAAAAAAAAAAGACAAACTTAGTGCCTCGATTTCTTCATTGAGAAGGTGGGGGTGATTGACTCACAAGGTTACTGGGAGCACTGAATGAGTGAGTGCGGATGAAAGAGCTTGGTAAAGTTAAAACGGGGCCCCCAGACACTGCTGCTCACTAGCTGTATAACCTTTGGCAAGTGACTTAACCTCATTGAGTGTCTTCTGTAAAATGGAGGAAATACCACCCCACAAGGGGTTGTTTCAAGGATTAAATAAGACGAGGTGGACAAAGTGTTTTAACATAAACCCAGAGTACTCAGCGCGCATCCTCACAGTGACTGCTAGTGTGATTATCGAAGAGATCCTAGCGGCAGCGGCCAGCCCCCACTGTGCTGAGCTGCCTGAATCATGGGTAATGCAGCTCAAGCTCCCAGCCAGTCTGAAATAAAAGGACCCACTTGTCTGCCCTTTTCGGAACTTTTGAGGTCTGCGGGGACCCTCCGCAGTCATCTGGAGTTCAAGTTCTGTACCATAGGGGTGGGAAAGAGGAGGGGGGTTTCTTGCTTGGAGTGTGCCTCCGGCCAGAAACCAACACAACCTGGGAATTTGACCCTGGAGCCTCCAGAGGAAGCTGAGTGACCCTCACCTGCCAAGGAGGACAGGCCTGTATGCAGAGACTAGCCCAAGGGAGCCAGCAGAGGGGCCATAGCCGCCTTTGAAGGCCCAACACTTCCGGACGCTCCCGCTGCAGGGAGCTAACGATCTAATGTTCTGGGCTGGTTTGCCAGCTCACAGCTTCTGGCCAGCCTTCTCACCACTGCACAGAGCAGCCTGGAGTTGGTGGGCAGGGATGTGGGCTACTACTGGGCTAGAGATATGGTCTGTGTACAGATTGGGGAGCAGTCAGCACACTTAATTCCTCTCTGCCCTCCAGGTTTGACCAGGGGATATGTGGGCATAGCTGCATGACACTGGAAGAACTGTCCAGCTGAGAATAAGAGCTTTGGGGGGTAGGTTAGGGTGGGGGTGGGAGGGCAGGAACCTGGTAAGTTTCAACAATACCTGGATTTAAGTCCTAGATCTGTTAGCACTTGTGGGACCTCGACAGTTGCATTGATCTTGGAACAGTTCTCAGAATTCAATGAGATAGGAAAAGAAAGCCCTTGGCATGTGCCTACCACTGCCGCACAGCTCTCTTATAAGACATGTTAACAGTTCTCCAAGATCTGCTTCACTGCCCCAGCAGGCGGGGCTTCTGGGGCAGGGGTGCAGGCAAGCATCCCTGCTTGCCTGGTCTCAGGTCAATTCCACCTCAAAAGATCCTTCGTTATCTTTTCCAATAAATGTTTATCTAGTACCTACTGCAAACCAGGCAGTGTTTTAGGCACAGACGGGACACCTGCCCTGCAGTGCTTCTTACCAGGTAAGGATAGAGAGACAAACACACACACAACTTGTAAAATGGTATTTTACAAAGAAAGTGATAAATGGGGGTAAATCCAGCAGAATAAAGGGAGATCAGCAATATGGAGCAGACTCAAAGGAGGTGGCTGAGGAGGGTTCTAGGAGTGAACAGCTAGTAGAGACCCCGCAGGGAGTGCCCTGGTGTGCTTGCAGACCTGGAGCCCCTGTTAGAGGCAGGAAAGGGGAGGGCCTGGGGCAGTGAAGCAGATCTTGGAGGGCTTTGTGGCCCCTGTAAGGACTCGGGCTGGGATTCTAAGTAAAACGGAACCTTTGCAAAGTTTGGAGCAAAGAAATGACATGACCTGATTTGTTTGAAAAGGATTTTAGGTGGAAACAGATACCTGATAGGAGACTCTGAAATAAGAAATGTCTGCCAAAGTCTTGGAGAGAGGTGATCAGGTCCTGCCCCACCAGGCCTTGAAGTCGTGCTGAACAGCAGAAAAGAGAAGTGCCCTTGCCTAGAAAGCCACTGAGAACTCGAATGGGCTCGGTCCTCCCAGGCCAGGTTCTCAGGTACTGGTGGAGTCCTGGGCACCCCCTCTTCCCACACCTCCTCAGAAGAACCGAGAACTGGCAATTCTGCTTTCCTTGGTCCCCACTGGCAACATACCTCAAACACACCTGATCACCTCTCTCCAAGACTTTGGCAGAATCGCTGACTCCTCCAGCCGCTCCCCTCATATTCTCATGTTCTGTCTACACCAGCACCACTGCCAGCTCTGAGAAGTGACTCAAGCTCTTCCCCAGCCTAGAAAATTGTGTGTCTTCGCAACACTCAGGCCTTCCTGGCTAGGGATGTCTGATTTTGCCCGCAGGTGCCTTTGTGGATGGGTATCTGTGTGGACAAGGCTAGGCCTGCTGGGCCCTGGCCCACCAGCACTGACCTCCAGAGGACAATTTTGGGATGACATTTTAGAACTTTTGAAGATTTATTTCAGTCCTGTGAATTATTTATATTTTACTATAGCTTTACTCACTGTATATAACAATGTGCAATTGTCTACAGTGGCTCCCTTCCAAGAAGAAAGCAAGAAACCATGTGTGTGTTCTTCCTTTATTTTCCCTCTTACTACACAAAAGCAGTGAAACTTATGAAATTTAGCAAGTGGGTTACACAGTGCACAGCGCGTGTTACTTTTCTTCCATTGTGGGCATCTCCCAGCACCAAAGCAGGCAGACCACCCCATCCTTTGTGCCACGTGGAATGTTCCAGACTGTTCCTCTCTGCCCCCTACCCGTCCCCACCCCCCCGACGGACACTTAGGTGGTTTTCCCTCACTTGCAAGACATTGCGTGCGTGTATCCACTCCAGCAGGAACTGCGTTCGCCTGCAAAATTAAACACATCACATCCACTTACGAAAAATGAAAACAAAATTAAATCAATTGAAAGGCTTAGAAAACCACATCCGAGTTTCCCAGCGGCCCCCCACGCCTGGTTTCCAGTCATTCCGTTTTCCTTCTGCTGGAACCGCCGCGGGTTCCTTTAGTCTGCACCCCTGGGGTCCAGGCCTCCTGGCGCCCGACGCCGGGAGCAGGACTTCCTCCCCCAGGGTCTTTCCCAGAAGCAGGCGCGCTCGCTCCCCGCGGTTCCCAGACAGGCCGCTAGGGGACGCCCCAGGCCGGGCCGAGCGGCCTCCGGATCGCGAGCGCAGACTGGCCTGCAGAGCCAGGCAGGAGGTGGCGCCGAACCAGGCCCGGCAGCCGCCACTGCGTCTTTGCAGAAACCAGATTCGGCCCCTGCCCAGGCTGCGTTCTGCAGCTTGGCCTCCTGCCCTACTGACCTGGGGCTGCCAGGGACACCGCTCCCCCAGCGAGATCCCTCCTGAGACACCAAATCGGCGTTCCTGCCGCGTGCCATCCATCCACTCCCTGCAGTGTCCCCACTTCTCCAGAGGCCTGGACCTCATGCCCACCTGCGGCCTGCCCATTCCTGCTGTCTGGACAGTGCATTCGCTGCCCTCTGCCCTTTTGGAGGCATCTGGGGAACCCCAGAAAGGATGAACGAAGCTTCCCGCAGAAGGCGGACTCCTGTTGTGACTTTCCTGTGTTACCTCTTCTCTGGACTCTGTGCTCCCACCGGGCCACAGTCAGGGCAACAAGGACTTGGTTGGAGGCAAGAGGAGGCTGGGGAAGATCCCCTAGGAAAATGAGGGGATCAAGGATGCCCAGGGGGGGGAATCCCTGAGAGGTTTAAAGTGGGGAGGAGAAAATAGAGGGTGGGATGGGAGTTGGGGGGAGGGGGAAACTTCCCCTCTGACACTCCAAGGTCACATCGGGAAAAGCATCTGGAGGGGAATGGTGTGGACCGGTGGGGCTGGATGGTCTCACCCTCCACAGTTCTTTTTGACCCTGGGCTTAAAGCTCCTCTGAACCGATTAAGTCCTCCTTCCTGGCAGAGGGAACAGAGGCAACACTCACATCTTGGCTCCAGCTTTCTTGGGTGCCCGATCCACCTTTGCTCCTTCGAGGGAAGGGACATGCCCGCCACTAATCCAATCAGGCTACAGTCCCAAACCCTGCACATCACTGAGCACATCATTGCACAAGACTCAGGGTTGCCAGCGATGATCTAATGAGAAAATTAGGTCCAGGTAGTCCCAGTGTGGCCGTCTATGGATTGGGCAGCGCAGGCAAGCCTCTTACCTCCCAAGAACTCTGCTTGCCTTGCTCCTGGCAGAGGCAGCTGGGATGACTGAGCACAGTGAAGGCAAGCTTTTGGTTTCAGCAACAGCAGTGTCTACCCATCCTGCAGGCCGAAGGAAGGATGGGGGTCCCCCAGGTAGGATACAGGAGCCGACTGTGGCCAGGAGCTTCAGATGCAGGATGCGGAGGAGACAGTTTCATTCTTTTTGATCATCTTCAGACTCCTGCAACAGACAAAGAGAGCAACAGCAACCACTGAAATCGACCCCTGAGTGTTCATCTGTCCGCACCCACAGAGCTCTAGAACCTCACTGCAGGGAGACGGGGGGGGGGGGGGAAGGTGTCTGCCTCCTTTAAGTCCTAGACTTCCACGATACAGCCCTTTCTGGTGTCCCTAATGATTGCATTTTGGTTTCTTCCTTGAATATGACACAGATAGGAGGAAAATTCTTTCCTCCTTTAGGTTTTTAAAAACATTATTAGGATGCCTAACGTCCTGGAAAAAAGAGAAGGCTGGAGCAGGTAGAATGAGAGACTGAGGAGCCTAGACGCTCCTGGCTCGCTCCTCTGGCCTCATTGAAATTGGCTCAAAAGACATGGAATTATTAGGCAAAGCTGCCTCCTCCTCCTCCTCTTACTTGCGGAGGAAAGATCAGTTCCCAGCTGGCCGGGGCAGTGTCATCGATACAGCTGGTGTCATTGTTACCTTCCACTAACAGATCACTCGACACCTGCCAGCCCAGGCAGGACAGGGCCTGGGCTTTGCCGGGCATAGCAGGAGGCGTTGCTCCTCCGCATTGTCCCAGAGTCGCAGGAGAGGCAAAGGCACAAGTGCTGCTGGGACGTGGCACTTGGTGGCCCCACAGAAGGACCCAATTGCTCCTGGTGCCTGCTCCCCCTGCAGGATTCCAGCTGCCTCTTCATTTCCTGCTGCCTGCCTCCGGTTGCTGCCCTGCAGAGAGATGAGTTGCTTGCTGGCTGGGAGCTGGGGCAGAATATCAAGGCTGCATCGAAAAGGGGCTTCCAGGCTGACCTTGGAGTGAGAAGCTGGGGCGAGGAGGACTTTGGGGCGGCCCTTCTGCAGCCTGGCTCGGCTTCCTTCTGGTGGGTGCACCCCAGCTGGCATCATGCTGCAGCAGATCCTGCAGGACATGTACATAGACCCTGAGCTCCTTGCTGAGCTCAGTGATGTGCAGAAGCACATACTCTTCTACAAAATGCGAGAGGAGCAACTGAGGCGCTGGAGGGAGCGTGAGGCTTGGGAGGACCTGGCCCAGGCAGAGGGGCTCAGGCCCCCGAAGGTCAAGCCAGGTATGTGGCTAGGGGTCATCGAGGAGCCAACCGCTGGCTTCCTTGGAGGTGGAAGAATTACCCATGCCAGGCTTTGCTCTTCACACTGGTGTGATAAAGGCTAAATCTGGGTCTTGTGAGTGCCTGGTTCCATTAGGGTGGACCCTTTGTAGGCCTCCAGGTCTGTAGGCCTCCAGGCTGGAAACAGGCTACCCAGGGGCTCTGAGGAGATTGGGGTGTGTGGACTTTGTCTCTTGTGAGATCCAGGTTATAGGAGGCCATTATTAGCATCTCAGAATGTGCTCAGATACAGTCAGTGATTGCTGGTGAGTGAGAGGGCATATTCTTGACTCTTACTGGTGGTTCTGGGACGAACCAGTGGGTAATGAAGATGTGCACTTCCTCCCTTGAGTGTGGGGCACAGAGGTGCTTGGCAAGGGCATGTGCAGACAATAAGCAAGGGCCCAAATATGGGTCGAGTGGCCATGTGCTGGTCGAGTTCATGGACTGGTATGCCTGTGAATGCAGGAAAGTGACCAGGACTCCAGGGCCTGAAGCAGGCAGGCTACTAAACCTTGCAATAGAATTCAAGATATGGTGGGGATCCCATTTATGTGGATGCTGCACTTGACAGCTTTCAAAGCTATTTATCCTCTCTCTGCTTTGCTCCCCAGAACACCCTTCATCATGGGGTCTCCATGCTGTTTTCCAGAGTAGAATGCAAACTTGATCTGCAAGGGTTTCTATCCAAGGCAAAGCTCCCGCTAGCTCCTGCCATCCCCTCCAGGCTCTGCTGTAAAGTCCCTGCTGTGCGCCACTGGCTGCACTTGCTCCCATCTGGACATGCTTGCTCCAGCCTCTGTCTTTGCAAACATAGTTCTCGCCAGTGGCAATGTTCCCCCTTCTTCATTCTCCTGATAAGCTCCTTTAGGATGAGTCCCCATCCTCTGAAGTCTTTTAGGGATGCTCCTGGTGCAGGGAAATACTTGCTCCTCTGCAGTTGCTTGGCAAGTAGGGCCAATTCCTGTTCTAGCTGGCCACGGTGTCATTGTCATTCATCATCTGGCTCTCCCAGGGGACTTAAAGCCACTGGAGCGTGAGACCATACTCCATCCCATCTTCCATCCACGGGTCTAGCACAGAGTGTTAAATTCTTGTTTCAAACAAGACACAGTAGGATCCAGGTGGGGAGAGTGATGACTTGGCTGTGCGAGGCTGGTGCCAAGGCTGGGACATCCACACTGAACAGCGCTGGCAGTTTCATGACTACTTGGTGAAAATGACAGGCTGCCTTTCCAGCCCCACCTGGCCTGAGACCTGGGTCCTCACATCTTCTGTATGGTGGTTCTTCTGGGAGGAAGACAGATGCTTAAAAATTTAACTGCAAAAATGTTTTTATGGTGATTTGTCACACATTGACATTTACATTTTCATGTATAAATTATACATTAAACTCATTTGGGTTTCTGGTGCAGAAGACTCTTTTCTGGGTAATTAATTTTCTGATTTATAGAGAATGAGAAGGAGGAGGAAACACGTGGAGTAATGTGTGTGCACCCCATGTCGGGATCCTGTTCAGATCTCAGGTCTTTGCTTCAGTCCTGCCTTTGAAAATGGTCTGGGTGGAGGTGGGGAAGACCTGGGCTGCCAGGGGGGTGGTGAGTGCTGGCTCTGCATCAGAAGGCTGAAGAGTTTCTGGCTGTAGGGTCCAGCACGCACAGTGCCTGCTTCCTGTCCTGGGATCATGATCAAGAGTTGCAACAACACCCAACTGGTCCATGAGATTTACATTTACCAGGAACTTAACCTCACTGAAAGTTCCCATAGATTGTGACCCCACTTCTGATGAGAAATAACTCATAAGTGACTCCATCCAATGGAGTCAAGATGGCATCCCATGGTTATCTGTTCATTCACTTCTGTACTGGGGACTTCAATTCAGTGAATGATCTATGCATGAGTTCAGTTGTTCATTCACCCCTTCATTCTCTTATCTGATAACACTACAAGGTGCTGATCTGGTGAACTGGACAGGCCTTTGGCCCAGGGCTGAAGGGAGACACCTCCTTTGCATTCTCTGTGTCAGCATTAAGCCATTCCCGGTGCATGTTGCCTTGGACGTGGTGTCCCACGTGGGCCTGGTTTCATGCCCTTATGAAAGCTGTGGTGGCAGCCCCCGTCATTGGGCATCTACCTTCCCTCTGTTTCCTAGGAACTGTTCAGTAACCATGGCAACTGTACCTGCCAGGCTGGGCTCTCCTAGCCTCAACGTGTTCCCTTTCTGGACATGGAAGTCCTGACCTTGAACGTCAGCTCTGCCTGGAACCCTGTACTTGCCTGCAAATGTTCCTAATGCAGCCATATCTTCGGGGGTCCCCTGCCTCATGGTCTTCTTCCCTCCAGCCCTTCCTCACGGAGCAGCCAAAGTGCCTCCAGCACATGAATTAACTCATGTATCTCCCTGCCTCATTGGCTTCCATTGCACCCTGAGTGCTTTTCCTGGACTCTGCCCGCTTTCTAAGCTAACTTCCACCATCTCTGTCCTTCCACGTGGAAGGCTCTTTTCCAGATCCTCACCAGGCTGGTGCCTTCTCTTCATTCACTTTGCAGTTAAATGTTGACTTCTTCACTGATCACCACCCCAGTGAGCCCATTCCCATCTCTCCCTCACATCACCGGCCTCATTTTCTGACAGTACTTCCCACAGCTAAAAGTATCTATTTTTGGTGGTAAAATACCCATATTTAACCATTCGAAACTGTATATGTCAGTGACGTTTAGTACATTCAATTATCGTGCAGCCACTACCTCTATATAGTTCCAGTACGTTTTGATCACCTCCAAAGGGAAGCTCTTGTCCATTAACCAATGACTCCCCATTCCCTCTGCCCCCAGAACTGTGGCAACCTCTGGCCTGCTTTCTGTTTCTATGGATTTGCTGTTTCCTCTTCCTCTTCCTCCATCAGTTTGCTTGTTTGTGGTCTGTCTCCTCCAACATCCTGGCAATGTTATGAGACCATGGATTTTACTGTCTTGTTTCTATCCCTGTATCTGGAAAAAGGCCTAGGGTATGGTTGTGGGGGAGGTGGGTGAGTCTGCTAGGACCCTGCATGTGTGCTGTGTGAAGGGATTGAAGGGATTGAAGGGACAAGTATTAAGAGTCCTTTTTTGAGTGAAAGACTGTGTGCTTTGCAGTGTGACCCCTCCCCAGACCTTGAAAATCTTCAGTAATAGGGTAAAAATCACAATATACTTATGCTTTGGGATAAGTGTGGAAGCTGGAAGACAATTTATAATATGTAAGTACTGGTAATTCTGTCACTTTTTCCCTCATTCTGACACCTTATTTCATATTTTAAGATTTGACTTAGTTTTTTTTAAAGATTTATTTATGCATACAAGATCTGGGGTACAGGCCAGAGGTGTTGGGGGTGAGAGGATTCATCAGAGAGAGTGGGGAGCAGAACAGGCAGATTGACAGAAGTACACTGCTGAGGGGAGCAGCAGGTGAGTCAGGAGAGGTCTGCTGCGCCATGTGAGTTGCTCCCTGGCTGGCCGCGGATTGAACTCATGCTGCAGAGGCTGTGGACCGCTTCACTTAGATTTTTGTTTGACCAATATTGCTTTTTTTCTTTGCATCTGTTTGGTGTGTATCTGCTTCTGTTACTCCTCCCTATCGCACCACCCCTACCCCCAGCCTTTGGGTACCATCTGTTTTAAGAGAGTCTATTGGAAAATGTATATTAAATAGCACATGCTATTTTAAAACTTGTTTAAAAAATGTACTTGAGCCCTTTTTTTCTATATCAGGAATAAAATATTATCTACTGTAGATGAGAAACATAAGGATAGTTTATATTCTTATCCATGATTTTGTTGATATAATCAAGTTTAGAATGATTTTGTTCACATTCATTATTTAATCTTCCTAGATTTTTTGAAATGGGCTTTTGTAATCAAATTATTATTTGGATATTAACTCCACTTTGTACTGGTTTCATTGTTTTCTGCATTTTTTCATCCTCGGCAGGGAGTGTGAGAAATCTTTTCTTCTTTTGTCTGGCTGTACAAATGATTGGGCCAATCAATCCGGCAGCACACCCTCACTGTTAGGGTTCTCAGCACATCACCCAGAAGTCACTAAACATCCAGAGGCATCTGCACCTGGAGCTGTCTTCTGAGCCACGCCTGTCCTTGCCGTCCCAGCATGATGGGCTCACGAGTGACTTGGGTGCACTGATTTTCTTCATCCACCTTCCTGAATTTTTCTATTGTTTCAACAGTTTTCCATTGGTCCACTTGGATTATCTAAAGGGCGAATATTGCATAGCAACATTGGGGAATGGGAATAGCAGATACCTGGGACTTCTGGGACCAGGCTGTTTGGAGCTCTCCTCAGAGCCCTGTCCTGGGCACAGTGGACAGTGTTTTGGGGGAAGGGTGGGGAGGCTACTGACAGGATCTCCCTCTCAGGAGCCTCAGAGCTCTTGGTTCAGCTAAAGGTTTTTGGTAGGGGAGCCTGAAGGAGCTCACAGAAAGAGGACCCAGATTCTGGAAACTAAGGAGCAAGGGGCAGGGTGGCAGCGGAACCAGAGCTAAGAACACCTTTAAATGAAGTGCATCTTCTGCATCTGGACTGTCTTGGGCCTGTAAGTGCCTCAGTTTATCTCACCCCTGAAAGACTTGGGAGAGGGATCTACTATATTTCATAAAATCTAAGATGCCACATTTTGATTAACATTCTATGATTTCTTTACTAAGAAAGGTGTAAATGAAGCCATAGCACATCATTGTTTATAAGATGCATGGTGATTTCAGGCCCCCATACTCCCACAGCAACTGCGTCAGTTGTGGACGGAGCTGCCTTGCCTGTCTCAAGGGCCCAGCTGGGGGGTGCTGCCAGGTCTGATCTCCCCATGTTTCACAAGTGACCCTGCCTGCCACCTCCTGTGTCCCCACCTCTCCAACTTCCTTCCCCTCCCAGGCTTTTTTTTTAATTTTCTTTAATTTTTTTATTTATATATATTTTATGTCATTGTTCATTTTCAAACAATGTTTGCTTTTTTTCCCCCCTCCCTGTCTTGAGGTCAGTGGGACAGTTTCTGAGAAAGGCCACTAGCTGGTTGAGTAACCTGACCCTGGGTCTCAACTCCAGCTCTGCCTTGCTGGGCGGGAGCAGGATGTAGGTGCTGCTATCCCACTTCTATCTCTCCCAGTGGCTAGCATTACGCTTTCCAGGTTTTTCTCATGTAAAAACAGCAAAGCTTCTGACTTTTTCTGTTTGGAATCAGATTTTGCTTTGCACTTGGGGAACTACATTTTCTGGGTATGTTTTCACACTGTTTTCCCTCTTTGAAAAATGGCATGATGTTGGGCCTTGGGGATCACTTACTTTTATCCTATCATTTCACACATGTGCTTATTTTCTGCCCATGTCAGTCAGGTTCTCCTACTTACAGTCTGTGAGATGCTAAACATCTATGTCTTCTCCCTGCCCTTAGTACCAATCCCTGCCCTTAGTACCTTAGTCCAATCCCTTTATTTTACCCATTAAGCTCTTTGTACCTCCGTCATTTTTCCAGATGAGAAAAGTGAGCTCTGAGTGAGCTCAGAGAAGCCCACCGGCACATGATTGGGCTGCGTGTTACTACTGAAGGGAGTTGGGGTTGGAGGTAGAGAATTGTGGCTTTCTCAAGGCTAATTACACTCCAGCATACATGGGACATTGTGGCCCTTGTAGAAGAACCTGTGTTCTCTAAGAGAGTGGCCTTGAGCTTGGGGAGCCATTTTAAAAGCCATTCAGCAGTCACACAATTGTTTCATGCATGTGTCTGGTAGACTCAGGGGAGGTCTATCTTTATTCCCAAGTGCTTTTTCTTGCTATTTTGTTCTATTATAATTATTTTTGGAAAAGAGAGGTGTGTTTTCATGGAGACATCAGAAAGAAAACTCTTTAAGCCAACAATTTTCCTTTGGAACTCACCATTATTTGTGCTTATAATTTCTGCAGCATCCCACCCACACCCCCCGCGCCCCTGGTAATTTTGACTTCCTCTGAGATTCATGGGCTACCTAGAATATAGTTTCTTGATTATACAACACTTGGGATTTTTAATGGCTATTTCCCCCCACTGATTTTTTTTTTTTTTAAGATATAGAGCCTCTCTTTGTATCTTTTTTTTTTTTTTAAAGATTTATTTATTAATTTATACAAGCACTGGGTACAGTCAGAAGCGCGGGAGGGTGAGAGAATTCACCAGAGCCAGAGCGGGGAGCAGAGCAGGCAGAAGGACCGAAGTACACTGCTGAGGGGAGCAGCGGGCGTTAGGAGAGGTCTGCGTGCCATGTGGGACCCTCCTCCAGTGGCCAGGGAGCAGCCGGGGATTGAACTGGCGCTGCAGAGGCTGCAGGTATCTTCGCAACCCAGCGCTCAACCGCTGCGCCACCAGGGAGGCCCAACCCCCACTGATTTTTTATTTTTGTATTATTATTGGAGTATGTGATATATATAGTTTTTCTAATTATAAGATCAAAAGAAAAACAAGTGTATTCTCAGTGTTCAGGAAATAATCATTTTGTAGTTGCTAAATAGAATTTGTTGGCTGTGTTATCTAAATTTTCCATATTATTAATTTTTAAAACCTATTTGATACACCAAACTTTTGAAACATAAGAAGACTCCCTGTCCTGGCTATACATACATTTTTCAAATTCTCTTTTATTGTCAGGACTTTTTGTTTTATGCAGTTGTCTGCTATGTTGGATGTTGTATAGTTTTATGACCATTATATCTTCTTCGTGGGTTGCATCTTTTATCATCACATAATGTTCTTTTGTCTTGTTTAACACATTTGTCCTTGAATTTGCTCTGTCTGACATGCCACTTCTGCTTTTTTCCCTTGGCTTTGTATGATCTATTGTTGCTTAGCTCTTTTTTTTTTTAATCTTTTTTGAAAAAATGTGTTTTCTTTAACACATAGCTAGATTTTATTTTTAACACATCTGATTTTAAATAGGGGCATTAATTCTGTTCACATTTTTGTGTTAGTGGATATGCTTAGAGTTTAGGGCTTCTGTGTTATTTTGTGTTTGTTACCCGTATCAGTTAGGGATGTGTTTGACTGTAAATAACAGAATAATGGCTAATAATTGCTTAATGAAATAAATTTTTCATATTTGTGTTACCACATTTCATTTGATAATTACAGAACATTATCCCTTGAAGTTCCTTATATTTCTACAAAAGGCAAACATCTGGGTGGTATTGGTTCAACTGCACAAAAAGCTCATGAAGGGCACACGTCTGTCTATCTTTCTGCTTATTCATGCTTAGCATGGGACTTTCTTCCTCATGGCTGCAAAAGTCTTTCAGCAGCTCCTTCCAGGCAGTAAGAAAGAGCAGAGGTCAAAGAGCAAAGAGTGAAGCCCTTTGTCCTGTTTGGAGAAGAAAAGTCCTTTACTGGGACTGCTGCCTATGTTTATTGGCATCTGGTGACTTCTAGATCCATCACGTGCCAATTTTATTTGTCCTTTGAGGTTGGTTTAGAAACTCACCTCTCCCGAAACTGAGAAATCTCTGTTACCTCCCTTAAAATTTGGAAACTGAGGTTTTTTGGTAAAGGAAGAAGGTGGGGTAGATTGGATGGTGGGTAGGTATCCTATAACTGACAGTGTCTGCTATAATAGCTATAGAGTTCCACTTGCTTTTGCAGGATTGGTAAGCCTTTCATCCTTTACATTCCCACTATTAATTTGAAGTTTTGTAGCTCTAGCAGTGGTTGTCTTCCGGGTTCTATCAATAATAATTAAACTTGTGATCCTCTATTACCATTTTTTCTTTTAATGCCCTTATATATTATCAGGGGAATTAACACTTCCTTCTGTAGTAGATAAATCCTGAAATCTTAGTGGGTTGATGTAGCAAAGACTCTTTTCTTGATTATATCTCAGTTTAATGTGTATTGGAGAGCTCTTCTGTGTGTCTTGCTTTCAAACATTGACTCATGGATTGGACTTCTTTTCTCTTGCATGGGGGAGAAAAAGAATGAGGAAAAAGAATGCCAACTGCACACAGTCTCAGACCTAAGTGGCAAAAATCACTTCTTCTAACATTCTTTTGACATCCTCTCAGTTCATCCAATATATATGGCCTCATGGAACTTCAGGGAAACTAAGAAAAGTAGTCATATGGTGGGCTGAGCTCCAGGAAATGGGGTGCTGAACACAGTGTGGTCACTGTCACCAATTGTCAGTTGGTCACTCACACATTAAATTCTTCTCTTCTGTATAAATACACTCACCACCTTCTTAAGGCAGACACCCTCAAGGCTCATCCAGCCATTCACTGCATCCAGCTCAAAGTCCATGGTCTATAAGGGTTCTGTACTGGTATTCATAAAGCCTGGATGTGGTTAAAAAGATGCGTTGTAAATATCCCACATTTTAAAGACACAATATAGAGCAGTAGGGCAGAGTCAGAATATCCACTATGGAAAAGGAAAGAATGTGAGACCCACTGACTCACTAGACTATGTGTTCCAGAAGTCCTACAAAACATCAGCTTCTGTCAAGTCCCCCAGCCTGGACAGTGATGGGACATCCTTGAATGGGCACTGATGGCATCTTCCAGGAGGCTCCTCTGTGTTCATGATCCTCCTTGGGCTCCTCTGAAGTTAGTGTTGAAGATTGTGCCCTCCTTGGACCAGTACAGCCTTGAAACTTACCCCCTATTTATCAAAGTTGAGCGCTAAGTGTTGTTTAGGTCTTGGACACAGAGTTATAAGTCCAGACTCAAAAGCCTAGGAGGCTTTCATTGGCTTGCTTCCATGTCTCAGTAACACCATCTAAATAAAATTCTTTCCTAGTCATATCTTATAAATGGATTCTATTCTTTGCACCTTTACCTCCATGTCTCTCCCTTTCCACTGAAGGTATCTACCTTAGGCTCTTTGTGAAAATATGTGTAAGAGATCATGCTCTTAGTGTGCTGTTGTGGCCTGGCTCCTCTGAGGAGTAGAGCTGGGGATGGCATTATATATTTTTTATATATATACACAATTTATACATATATAACATATTATATTATATATATACAATTTATATATATATAATACAAATTATATATACAAGGGTTTTATTAAGGAAATTGCTGGGAGACACTGAGGGCAGGTTTCTGGAGGAGGCTGAGGGAGCCTCACAATGCAAAGTGAGTCTGACCTTGCAATGTTGCATCAAACCCAATGGGAGGGCAGGTTGGATTTGGTAGTCATGCCTATCCAAGGAAGGTTCCTCAAGGCCCTGGGGACTTGCCAGTCAGAGGACTCCAGTGTCTCCTGGGATACCAGCCATGCTCTGTCACAGGCTGAGAGTCACCTCTGGAAAGTTTGTCTTTGGGCAAATCCAAGAGCACTGGAGTCTTGGTGTTATGCTCCTGCAGTGCAAGGTCTGAGTTCTCACAGCCACCACAGTGCCCTGTGCCCTAGGGCAGCTGACTCACCTCAGAAGTTTTATTGGATGTTGCAAAAAAAAAAAACAACAAAAAAACAAAAACCTTAAAAAAAATCCCATCAGTTGAAATTTAGGCCGTAGAAAGAAGAGGGTTTTTCAATCCTAGAAGCCCCAAATTTCTGTCTTCTTACTATTCCTTTTCAACTCTACTTGTAAAACACTCAAGTCTTCTTGACTCCATTTCTTTCTCTTAACACCTTGTTAAACACAGCAGCTAGCAGCCAACACAGTCTACCAACATTCTATGTTGCAGTCTTTTCCTTTACAGTGACAAGTTCAGAAGACATTGGGGTCTTTTAAATTATTGTATTTGGCAACTTTACCAAATGTTTTTCTCCTGTGTCATATCAATTCCCGGTCATTCATCCTGCTAAGCACTACTCACCACCCCAGTGGATAAGAAGGGGAGAGAGAGATCAGAATGTCAGGGGGAGCTCCCTGGCAACTAGGTGCCTTGACTTGGGAGTGACACAGGCCATTTTTTTTTTTTAAACACCCTTGTTTATTTTATCATAACAGGATTTCTCCCCTCAGTTGTGGTCATCTTTGATTTCTCACCACCAAAGTGCCCACAGTCCTCCACACACTCCACTGTGCTCTCCATGCCTCCTGCCCCTTTAGCCCAGTTCTCTGCTCTCCCTTTGCCTCCCTTCCTGAGTGTCTCCCATCTACAGTCTGTCTTTGTTTGGTTTCTCTAGATTCCACATGAGTGAAATCATCCAATATTTACCTTTCTCCTTCTGGCTCACTTTGCTTAGAATAATTTCTGCCGGTTCTATCTAGGTTGTCTTCTTTGATTGCTGAGTAGTATTCCATCGACACAGGTTGCTTTGTTCAGAGCGTGCTCTGCTGGCACCTCATGTTCTCTCTGCTGAAGATGTCAGGGAATCTTGTCCGGGACACTGCTGCAGCAGGCTGACTTGGCTGCGTGTCATCTCTGGAGGGGTAGGAGAGAGAGAGGCCATAACTTACACTCAGGATTCTCTGGAATCCTTTTAATAGGTGTCAGCGTACTGCAGAGTGGTGCAATGGCTGTGCACCATCGGCCAGCCTAGGCCATTCTTAACTAATGAGAACTCAGACTCTCTCTTCTTCCTTCTGTTGTGAGGCAGCGAGTGACAAGCACATCCAGTGGCTCCTGGGTGAGGATGGCGAGGTCTGGGTCTGGATCATGGGAGAAGGCCCCGGTGACAAGCCCTATGAGGAGATCTCTGAGGAGCTGATAGCAGAGCAGGCGCGGCTGCAGGCACAGAGGGAGGCGGAGGAACTCTGGTGAGAGGTGCCAAGTGGTGTTGGGTGGGGCTGAGCTTGGGGGCAGTCCAAGTTAAAGACAATTGGTGGTGGGGGGTGGGGAGGAGCTGCTGTACTGGGTTCTGCTGATACTGCCGTGACCACATCTGTGAGCATCAGAATCTTGTACCGGGTACTTCTGGTGGGCTCAAGTCCTGGATCCACCAACCAGAAGTGAGCTGATCTGGGGCCTAGGTCGTCACATCCGTGGTGTGGACATGACAACACCTTTTCCACATGATGCAGGTTAGACTTACTGAGATACAACACACAGCATGCTTTTCCTTACACAACTCTTTTCCTCAATGAGTTGTCCCCAGCGCAATATAACAGCATGGGTTCATTTTTGTGTTATCTTTTTGCGTTACTTATATTTCTCACACAAGATTGACAATTGAGCCCCTGTGAGACTCCTTGCATTTTTACACCAAAATTGGGAATCCATATAAATTTGACTCCAAAATCCTACCCTCAGCCTCCGTGCATTTTAATTTTTAATTGTAAAATTGTAACAACACAATAGCCACCACTTCAAATAACTACTGTGAATGTTTAGATATTTATATGCTTTGTAAACAGCTTTATTCACACATTGATAAATGAAATAATAGATATCCATACATTATTTAATAACATATCCATACATTATTTAAGATTACTATATGATAGAGACAATTAAATTTTGTTGATGCATATTTAGGTTGTTTGCTATTTTTTTGTTCTAAAAATCCTCTGATGAACATCTTTGATCTATATACCTTTGTGTACTTGAGTGAGACATGGGATTTCTGAGTTTTTTCACCCCTGGTTTCCAGAACGAGGATGATTTATATTCCTATGCACTAGAGTGCTGATTTACCCATATTTGCCATTCTGATAGACTGGGATAAGGTTCCTCATTGTTTTTATGTGAAATTTTGTTGTTACATGCTCCTTGAGTTTCTCACGAGTTTATACCTACTGATGTTCTCTTGGAAGGAGACAGAAGGAGGCTGAGATCACCAAGAAGTTCAGGGATGCTCTGGCCAATGAGAAAGCCCGGATCCTGGCGGAGAAGTGGAAAGTGGAGATGGAGGACCGCAAGGCTGCCAAAATTCTTGAGGAGCGCATCCATGAGGAATTCAGGGTGAGCCCTGCCTGGGGTGGCTGCCGCCTCCAGCTCCCAGACAGTTAACAGGTCTCTGGTTTACTTATTTGATCATTTTGCAGGCTAGAGAATTCTTGGCTGACAATTCTTGTCTTTTAGAATTGCGAATATTTCTTTCCATTGTCTTCTTGTTTGCAGAATGTCTGGACTGAAATCCAGGAAAATCCTAAGGTGGGAGCCCTTATAAGTTGTTATTGTTCTTCTGGATGTACAGAAGATTACAATTTTAATTAGATTTTTATCAGTCTTTTACATCAATATTCGTTTTATGTTTAGAAAGATCTGTGGCACTACAAATTTATAAAAATAACAATCCACATTTATTATCTTGCATATTCTTACTTTTTTATGTTTCTTTTTCCTTTGCTTTGGAGTGTAGTATGATAATAGTATTCTGATTTTTTCTTCCAAATGGCTAGCCAGTCATCCCAACACCATTTATTGTGGAATCTTTCCTCGCCCCTCATTGGACTAGGTGCTTCTATATTTACTTTTTACTTCTCCTGTAGATTTTTCTTCTTTGACTAATTATTCCTGAACCATATTTACTTGTTTAGTTATTATATTGTTATTGCATCTTTTGAGGTAAGAATGTACCATTGCTTTTCATTTCCAAAATGTCCTTGGCTAATCTCACCCAGTTTTTGCTATGAGAGATAGATTTTAATTATTTTGTACTTAACACCCCCCCTCCCCCAAACAACAAAAAAGTGACAAGGTGATTTTCCTTGAAATTGTGTAAATGTTATAGTTATGTTTGTGGAAGATGGACATTTTTATAATATTGAATTACTAAATGTTCTTAATCAGAAATGTGGTATATAGTCTTCCTACTATTAGAGGTTTGTCTTTGATAAAGTTTTATTTTATTTATTTTATTTTTTTAAAGATTTATTTATTTATTTATGCAAGAACTGGGGTACAGGCCAGAGGCTTGAGAGGGCGAGAGAATTCACCAGAGACAGAGTGGGGAGCAGAACAGGCAGATCTACTGAAATACACTGCTGAGGGGAGCAGTGGGCAAAACAAGAGAGGTCTGCTGCGCCATGTGGGTTTCTCCCTGGCTGGCTGGGAATCAAACCCGTGCTACAGAGGCTGCGGACAGCTTCACAGTGCTGTGTTCAACCCGCTGCGCAACCGGGGAGGCCCTCTTTTGAGTTTTTAAGTGAGGTACTCTAAAAACACTTAAAAATAACTTCAAACTTCAGAAAAATTGAAAGGAAAATAAAACAAATACTCATGTATTCTCAACTTAAATTTACTAATTATTAGCATTTTGCCACATTTGCATTTTCTCTCTACACACACACACACACACACACACTCTTTTTTTTTTTGTTCTGTTGTTTTGTTAAACAATTTGAAAGGAAGTTGCAGACATCATATACTTTAACCCAGAGGTTAACAAACTATCTTCTGTAAAAGGCCAGAAAGTAAATATTTTGGGTTTGGGGGCCTACTAATAGAGAGGAGCGATAAACAATAGGTAAGCAAATGGGTTTGACTGTGTTCCAAAAAGACTTTATTTTACGCAATAGCTGGAGGTCAGATTTGACCTGGGAGCCTTAGTTTGCTGACTCCTATTGTCCTATGTGCTTCAGCTTGCCTTTCTATGAATGAGGACTTCCCCACCCAGCCACTTAGTAATCATTATTAAATCTGTTAAAATTAACAATAATTCCATAATAGTATTTAAAAATCCAATACACAATGGAGAAAAATGTAGCTTATGAGGTTGGATTTTGCATTGATTATTTCAGTATACTGGGGAAGAAAACAACAGTTTTTCAATCACTAATGGTGAGAAACACCTGTTCCAGTTGCTGGCCTCCCTCTTCCCCACGTGTGGGCTGAGCCCAGATGCTGGAAGATGGTGGAGCTGGGTCCTGGGCTCAGTTCACAGGAGATTACAAAGGGATTGAGTTCCCAGAGGAAATTTTCTGCTTGATGGTCTCCTAGGTGACAGCAGGATGATAAATTGTGGAGGGTTCATGGAGGGTTCAGTGTAGTTACCTGGCCAGGCCCTCAGGTTCACAAATGCAGACTTTTGATGTATTTTCAAAGAAGGTTATTACTGTCATTTTTAAATTGTTTTAAAAATTGTTTCTGATTTAAAAATTAATAAGCTAAGTGCATTTAAACCTTAATACACAGAGTATCCCTGGTTGGGAATGTCTGCATCTTGAGGAGGCTCAGAAATCATATGCAACATCTGCAAGGCCCTGAAGGGGCTCATTAGGCCAGTGTCTGTCAGCAACACTAAACCATGGACTTGAGCTGGACTGCCCAGGTTCATGATGCGATATTTTCTGTCAGAGCTGTCTGTAAATGAACTACCTTCTTACGAGCTCCTCCTCACAGGAAATGGTCAAGCACAAGTTGAAACAGTATCTGAAGAGTTTTTTGTGGTACAGTGAATATGGCTGGGGGCAAATATTTGCTCCTCCTTCCTTTGAAAGTTGGGGTCTGTTTGCCCTCTTCTATACCAGCTATGGAAAATGTTGGGTTCAGATAATGAGGTTTGGAATGTGGGGTTTTTGGGTCCCTCTGAGAGAAAATTCAGCAGACATTCCCTTTTGTTATAGAGCAACCCCGATATTAAACGGGTTCCTGGCTGTGGGTCCTCACCTGCGCGCTTTAAAGGGACTTATGAATACTCTACTACAGACACACGCCAAAGGGTTAATAAAAGGTTTATTTACAAGAGAAAAGGAAATAAGGAAAATGTACAACTCAGGGAGAAAATAGGGAAATAAAGTCTTTAATGCGTCCTACCCGATCCGACGACCTGGAAACCCAAAGTCACTCTCAGAGCTAGACGGACGCTGCTCGCTGGTGGAGAGCCAAAATGGGGGAACCCCCCAAAGCCCACGTGTCTGCCTTTTGTATCCACCTGGCTGCTTAACCCCACCCTCAGGTCCCAGCCACCTTCCCTTTGGTGGTGATGGGATTTGGAGTTCCCAGTGTCTTTGGCTTTGACCTGGGGTGGGGGTGGAGTCCACAAAGCCTATATGGAATTTGCTTTGGGACATCCTTTTCCCCCTAACACTTTCATCAGCACACGCAAATTTATCAAGAAGAGGAAATAAGGGAGAGAGAGAGAGAGAGAGATGCCGGCATAAACACAGGTGAGCAGTCCTGATAGGTAAGAACTGCATTTTTCCAGACCAACGGGTGTTCTTTGATAGTGTTCTCCGATGAAATTATTACGGAAATTATCTTCTTGGGGTCAGATTGGGTGGGTCTTTTAAGGTCGTTGATACTTACTGTCCCCACCTCTGGCTGCTATTTTTCTGACCCCATGTCAGACTCCTGGAACTTCCATGGCTGGTTTATTTTAAGATTCATTAATCATCCCTGTCTCCACCTCTGGTATTTGTCCTTCTGAGACCTTCCATCCTAAATTTTTCTATTCCAAGTTTCCATCTGAAATGACTGTGTAACTTTGGAGGGCAGGCTATAAGAATATTTCCACTTCCACTGCTGGTCCTCTTGCTATGCTCACACTTGGAAGCTGTCTCCAGAGAAGCCAACTATACTAGGTTTCATATGTGAAGAAGCACCCAGGCCTCTGACACGTGAGTGAAGGCTTCTTGGTTCTTCCACTAAATGACTGCATCTGAGTGACTGATCTCAGCTGATACTGTTAGGGGGAAAAGGATGTCCTAAAGCTAATTCCATACAGGCTTTGTGGACTCCACCCCCACCCCAGGCCAAAGCCAAAAGACATTGGGAGAGACAAATCCCATCACTACCAAAGGGAAGGTTGCTGGAACCTGAGTGTGGGGTTAAGCAGCCAGGTTTGGTATAAAACCAGACACGTGGGCTTTGGGGGGGTTCCCTTTTTTGACTCTCTGCCAGCGCTTGGCCAGCTCTCGGAGTGCCATTGGGTTTCCAGGTCGGCAGATCGGGTAGGATGCATTAAAGACTTTATTTCCCTATTTTTCTCCCTGAGTTGTACATTTCCTCATTTCCCCTTCCCTTCCTGAATCATCAGTCTACAGAAAATTAGGCACATAAAATGGTTCTTGTTTTGAACCACTCAATTTTCACAGCGACAAATAACTAAAACAGGTTTACCAAAGGGATTTATATATCAGGTTAGAGATTGGCTTAGATAATTTTTATTGTATCTTTCTACACTGTGATTCTAATACAATGTGAGAGCATACAGGAAGGTACCAATAATATTCATTTAATTTAATACACTTTTTTGTTGCTGAGAACTAAAGCAGGTTGTTTGAAGGGAAGGCAGTAAGTGCCCAGCTTGCGGGATGTCCCAGGTCAGAACCAACTTTATGAGCAACCGTTAGCTCCAACTGTTATAGGACAGGGAGAGGGGCAGCCCAAACCCCGCAAACCTGCCTATTTTAAATGGGTTCTGCCATCTGCCGCATCAACACAAAACATATGAGACTTTAATGGGAAGGAACTTTAATAAAACTAGGAAACAATACAGGTAAGGCAAAGAGTCTAGTTTCTAAGTGAAGCATCCAAAGTTACCCGTCCCCTCGTGGGTAAAAGTCCATCCAAATGGGATTGGCCCAGAGCAAGGCCCCAAAGCCTGCCATGAGTCTAAAGCACCTTTCAGTGGGGACCCACAGCAAAGGGTCAGAAACTACCAGACAAGGCTGGAAGGAAAAGAGCAAAATCAACATCAAGATAAAAGCTGCCATTGTCACCTCCCCACGGGTCTCACCCACATCTGTGTCACCCAGTCCATGACCAAAAGACAAACGCAGTTTCTTCACGTGTCTCTAGGCTCCATGCGCCTCCTCCAGGTCTCCTGGCTCCATCCTGCTCCTTCCTCAGTCTCTTCTGCAGCTTCTCCTCTTCCTGCTCAGCTCCACCCTCCCTTGGGTGGGGCAGGGAACCTCCCCCTTTCCTGGGGACCACCCTGTTACACAACCACACCCTGGGGACTGACCATGGAGGGCAAAGGCGTTCTCTAGGAGTCTGGACCTGAGCAAAGGCAGGAA